GGCTGCAGGAGTTTGCTTTCCGCGCACAAAGGAATTCCAACAGTTCTCACGCAAACCCTCCGTGTTTTCTTTAGGGGGATGCTGCGGTCGGAGGGGAGGGGAGGGAAACTATTGTCTTGCTTTATCCGAGTCTAGCCTGTTTTACAAAAAGTGCCCCGACGTGGAATCGCTTTCCGATCCAATAAAAGTGAAAGGGGGGCCATCTGCTCGCTTGGCTGAAGGGTATTAATGGTTTCTATGGGATTCACCGTGGAATGCAGATACAGGCATTGTGGCAAGTGTGGTCGCAGCAGATTGAAATAATAGATCCCTTTGTGTCGGAGGGGAGGGCGCAGTGGGCTGCATTCTTACTAAATGTGTAATGGTGCGGGCATATTTCTAACGAAAAGTGTCTATCGTGTATGTGGTCTGGTTTTTATACAAAACAGAGCTGCTTTTTAATGGATTGCTTTGGTCAGTGCATTACTGGACAACCGTTGCAAATTTAAAATTTTTCATGTGGGTGTTGTCTGCTGACAAGAAGTAGACAATTTGTTCCTTGGGGTGAGGCCACAGCAGTCAAGTCTGCGTGGATGTCCCTTAAGGATATGGAATTTAATTCTCTGTAAATGAAGATGTTAACATCGGAAACAAGTTGCATTAGAGTTTAGTCTGTAGGATGCTACAATGTTATCCAGATAAACTAAAACCTATGTGACAGCCAAAACCAACTGTGCAACAGTGCTCAAAAAGTGTTAAGCTCAGGTTTTCACTTGTGCAAAACTAGCTTTCAACTTGGATTAAGTCTTGTTTGGACTAGGAGATATTTAGGAATGTGCTTTCTCAAAACAAGGTCTCTTTCCTAAAACTGCTGGTGTGAAACAGCATTGCTAGCATTCCTCCCGGCTGGAAGTGACTGCCCTTATCTCCAGAGAGCTGGGCGCAGGCTGACTTCGTCCTAAAGCAGTTCATAGACGTTGGTAGATGTCACCATTCGGGAAATAATCACTTGATTGTCAGTGTTTCCCTGGGCAAGGCTTTTGACTGCAGCGTATTTATAGTCTCTGAAGGAGAGTAGGTGTCTATGAGAGAATGTGTGGAAACTGAGACACCTACTCCCATTTGGAGTCTGGGAATTTGGAATCTCCACTGGTGTTCTGGGGACAGAAGTTTGAAACAGAACAGTTTGAGATACTGCCTTAACTTCACCTTCTGGTTTTTTTTGAGTGCTAAGCTGATTTAACATAGTGTGAAGTTCCATGAAGAAGCATTTAACTTCAGTTTTAGAGAATTTAATCTGTTCTGATTCATTGCTGAATTCAGTTGAAGGATCCTTTGACTTAAGGCTGGCTTTTAAATGATCTTTCATACTTAATTGGTGCCCTTCAAGGCATGTCTACCTCTGTTTCAAACTGATTAAACTTTGTGAAGGCTTTTAAGTGAACTTGGCTTGGTGCATATCCCACATTCATTATCCAGCTCTTCCCTGCACTGTAGAAAGGGGTCGTTCAGGAGCTCAGCCTTTAGCAGATCTGGGCTGATTGGTTTGAACAACAGTAATACTTAATTTTGCCTTAACATCCAGGTTCTGAAAACTAAATCTGTTTCAGTATAAGTGTTGTTCTGCTGTAAGTGAAATTAAATTTGTAGAACACTGAAGTTGAAATATCCTGTTGTGCTTTCCATTGTTAAAAAAAAAAAGCACAGCTTTTTATTAAACCGTTACATTCTTGCACTGGGAAGCTGTATATATGGATTTGGCACACTTCAGCAGATACTTTACTGTTCTGATGTACCATCAGATTTACTTTTTACTTGATGAAGCAGTTGTCTACTCCAGTATTTTAAAAGAAACTGAACAAATACTTGAACTTAAACTTTATATTTCCAAAAGCTACCTGCTTTAGAGACTGTTCAACTCATATGTACTGAATTTTTATTTAATTCCTCTCCTGAACAAAGATGTGATTTTACTCATATGCTGAGGGGTGTACTGCATAAAATAAACCTAAATCTTCAGTGAGTTCTTTCCTTTGCAACAAAACAAACATCGCAATATAGTGAGAAACTTATTTACTGCACCTTTGTCAGCTACTCTGGCAGTAAGGAATAGGTCTTGAACCTATGACAAGACTAACGGGTCTGCTCCTGGCTAACATGAGGTTTGTCTGAAATAAACATGGATGCTCGACCCTGCAAACTGCGTGACTGGCATTAAAGAACCTTCTAAGATAAAATCAGTGCATAGTCCAGTTGCATGTATGTATGCTTTACACTTTGTTTACTCAGACTACAAGTAGCTTATTTATGTGGTTTTCCATACATCTAGGAAATACAGATACACTGATTCTTTACTCCCTAACTTAATGATAACATATATAATAAAATACATACCATATATTCTAAGTGTCTTCAATTTAAGATGCTGTTAATTTATTATAAGCTCCTAAAAATCCTGTAGCTGTTCAGTTGTCCTGAAAAAATTAATAGTCTTCAGGATGCAGATTTCTGTAAAATCCACTGCAAACTCTTTGGATGTCTGTCTAATTGTGTAAATATGTTGGGTCATAGCCATGTAATTTCCTACCAGAATGATCTTCAGACTTTTTGGGGGAGGAGAACAAATGAATTAAGGAATTCTTTCTCTGAATTGAAAAACAGCCGATATGAACTGTGTGGGTGTAAAACTGAAATTGATAGGGAAGTTACGGAACAACACATCAAAGGGGTGTTCTGCTGGATAAAGAAAACTGAATTCTTCTGGAGCAAGAACCTTACCCCAGAGTAAGAGTGGTCCAAGGAATGGCTTTCTAGGAGTCTGAAGGAAACAGTCTGTATTTCAAAGGTGCCATAATAGTGGGAACTGCTGATTAGGAATGCTTATGCTTTGGGCAATTCAAAATAGCTTTAGAGCAAGCTGTGAAAACCTGATATGTTAATAACAAGTGAACATAAGCATGCAGCTGTGTATGTAAGTAGTATGAAAGGAACAATTGTCCCCTTTGCAAACTGTCTTGCACATTTAAAATGTAAGAAGTTGCCAATCAATGTTTCATCTTAAGTTATGTTTTTGAACTAATTCAAGCTGCTCTCATGTAACATTCATGGTGTATCTTCTGTTATGCCTTCAATGAATTTTTGCCGTTGATTAAGACTATCTCTGTCCAGCAAAAGGTGGAGTCTTTGCCAGCTACTGTGAGGGTGTAGGTGATGACTAACTCGATTTGCGTTTATGCTCCTGCCTTCATTTTCTCGAGGGAGATCTGTTGAACCACTTGGAGAAGTAAATGCTTGCAGTTCCTGTATGTGCCTCACTAGCTTTACAAGTATGCTTTCAAGCTGTGGTTGATCACCAAGGAGTCCATAAGAAAAAAACAAGAAATTAAGCCCATTGAGAGTTGTGTAGGCACATGGGTTGCACTTTTAAGCCCCACTGGAAAAAATGGAAGCTTGCAGATCACAAGACTAACTCTTTTTCAGTGTAGTCAAGCTAAAAGAGCTTATTGCTGACTTCTGACCCAAGTACCTGCTTCATCTTCAAGCAGGATTTACACCCATGATCTGTGTGCTCTTGATCATGCTCAGCAGTACGTTGGCAAAGATGAAGTAATCTATATATTAGGGTAGAAGGTGGCAAAAATATATTTTTCACAGCTCTTTATTTTGTATTGTCTTGCCAAAAAGTTCGGATGTAGCATCAGTCTGTATGCTAGTGAACTTACTGTAAAAGACTTCTCTACATTTGTTTTGTAAGATTGCTAATCGTTCTTCTCTTTGGTCAGGATGTTGACAATGCCTCTCTGGCACGTCTTGATCTTGAGCGCAAAGTTGAGTCCCTGCAAGAGGAGATTGTCTTCTTGAAGAAGCTTCATGATGAGGTAAGCTGAATAATGAGGTCTGATTAGGTGCTGACAGTCTAAGGAGCAAATAAGCTCTTCACTGGTTCTGGCCCAGAGTCCCCACCTGTGTGTTCTGTATGTTGTTGTCTAATAACACTGAGTGTCTGCCTTTCTCTAAGGAAATCCGAGAACTGCAGGCCCAACTCCAGGAACAGCACATCCAAATTGATATGGATGTTTCTAAGCCTGATCTTACTGCTGCCCTGCGTGATGTTCGCCAACAGTATGAAAGCGTTGCTGCTAAGAATCTTCAGGAAGCTGAAGAGTGGTACAAGTCCAAAGTAAGTAAAATCTGTTCAGATGCATCAGGCACTTGAACTAATGGTACGTAACAGCTCTGCTGTAGCACTCTGTTTTCTCTGTCTCTCTACTGGACACAAACACAGCCATGGCACAGAGTCGTCTTTAAACTTCTAGTCTGGGAAGAGTACAGCTCAAACATTATTTCGTGCTATAAGCACAGCATCAAAGTAATGGGTTCGTACTTGGAGTCTTTCCTATGCTTGTACCTGGAAGCAGATGAAATACTGGAGAAAGGAGTGAATGAATGGGTGAAAAAATGATGAAAAGATGGGAAACATACAGGGTGGGGAAACAAATATGAAAGATTTAACTATGAATTCCAATTTAACAATTAGAAATAGAAAGGCATTTTGAGAGTAAGGCTAATGTTTAAATGTTTCAGGTGTTAAGGCTTGTAATGGCTTCAGTTGCCCTCAAATGCTGTGTCCAAAAAAAAGTCTGTTATACCATTTCTCTTGAAATGTTATGCTAACCAAACTGGGGATTTCCACAGTTTGCAGATCTCTCTGAAGCTGCTAACAGGAACAACGATGCCCTGCGCCAGGCCAAACAAGAAGCTAATGAATACCGCAGACAGATTCAGTCTCTCACCTGTGAAGTTGATGCCCTTAAGGGAAGTGTAAGTAGAAGACAGCAGTTCTTTGGACATTCTTCCCTTCACAGCTTTAAGCATTGCAGTGCATTGTAATTGTTGATACAGATGTGAATGCAGCTGATCTCCCATGCAATACAGCAGCATTTTAGTACTTTTTGAAAAGGATGCTATGGGCAATGTGCCTGCATGTACTACAGTGCACTGGTTAGACTGATACACCGAACTAGTCTTACTTAAGGTACAAACAATGAGTGTGTTCTCTTGCTTTATAATATTCACTGTTTAAGCAACACTTCCTGGAAGTGTTTATGGCTTGTCTGTGAGGTACAGCTGAAGCTATAAAAAGAGCTGGAGGAGCAGTGGAAAGGAGGTGCAAATCTTGCAGTTGCTAGAACTTTACTGCCTTAAAGGCTGGCTTGAAATGGGTTTAACAGTGTATAGTACACCTGCAAATCCCCCCACTGAGGATTGCCTGCATGCTGACTTGTACTGCATGTGTTGGGCTTACTGTAAGGGATTGCTTTGCCACCTGATAGAGCAATACATGGCACACCTGAGATAAAGTAGCAGAATAACCCACCTTGACTTTGCAAGGGGAAGATAAGGAGATGAAAAATCTGGAACGTGTGTGGGCATTTTCAGGTAGGATGCTAACGTAACTCAACTTCCCTTTTTTAAAAATTTTAAGGGTCTTGACGGTGGGGAAGAGTGGCTGAGCTGCGGCAGTGCTTGACTTCATTACTCTCTTCCAGAATGAATCCCTGGAGCGCCAAATGCGTGAAATGGAGGAGAATTTTGCTGTTGAAGCTGCTAACTACCAAGACACTATTGGCCGTCTGCAGGATGAGATTCAGAACATGAAGGAAGAAATGGCTCGCCATCTCCGCGAGTACCAGGACCTGCTGAATGTAAAGATGGCTCTTGATATTGAGATTGCCACCTACAGAAAACTGCTGGAGGGTGAAGAGAGCAGGTAAAAATCACATGCAGATGCTTTTCTAAACAGCAATTACTAGAAGACACTCTATAGCCATGTCTGACTTAATCCATTTCTTTTTTTCCTTTAGGATTAACATGCCTATTCCAACCTTTGCTTCTTTGAACCTGAGAGGTAAGCTGTTTCTGCTACTTCAGTTTAGACAGCTGTTCTATCATTAGCAAGAGGGTCCTGAATAGTTCCTTTCAGTCTAGTATTTGAACTTGTATAAATGCAGTTGCATGTGAATGTTTTTCTTAGATATAACTACAATATTTGCAATTACTTAACCTTGGATGGGAGGAGCTACTTTGTTCCTGGGCACAGATATTTTTAAATATCAATACATAGGGAGTGGTTGGTTTAGATGCCTGCTGAAAGTGCTTTAAGGGGAAAAGGGAGAAAATGGAGAAGACTGGCTTCTCATTCAGAGCTGGAGACTTCTTCGTGTACTAAACTGGGATTCTGAAAGTAGACACTAGAATCTGTTACACTTAATTTCTTTGAAGAGGATTGGTAATAATACTTTTTTTTTTTCCCCTGCAGAAACCAACATTGAGTCGCAGCCAATGGTTGACACTCATTCAAAGAGAACACTTCTAATTAAGACTGTTGAAACTAGAGATGGACAGGTTGGTGATAACTTTGATTTTATTCCTATCAGAGCTGGTTATCTTAAAATACTCTGCAGATCAGTGCAGGCTGTATATGGTAGTAAGTATTGACTAGAACAGCATCTGGCAGTCCAGGCTGCATGGCTGAACATGCAGATGTAGCAAACAGGCTTCTGTGGAAACAATCACAAAATTCATTTGATAGTAAAACCTTAAGGAGCTGACAGTTATCTGTGTAGTGAGTATTTAAGTTTAGCTGAGTTAGCAAGTTCTCAAAAGATTTCTCATATCACCTGAGGAAAATGTGGTAGTAAACAGACGTACTTGTTGGGGACAAGATACTGTTTTCAGAATAAGTCAATAAAGCTTAAATGGTTTCTGCATGCTATTTACCAACTAGAACTTCTCACTTAAAAGTGAGAAATGATACCCATTTGTTCACGTTTCTGTGGTACTGGGTGTTCCAGTTCTAACTTTAAAAGAACAATCTTCCTACTAAAACTTACTGCAAGTGCCTCTTTTTCAACAGGTTATTAATGAAACTTCCCAGCATCATGATGACTTGGAGTAAAGCTGAAGACGCATACTTATTAATGCAGGAGAAATTCTTACCAGCAAGATTTAAAAAGTCCATGTCTTAAAGGAAAAAACAGCTTTCAAGTGCCTTTCTGCAGTTTTTCCATGAGCGCAAGATTATTATGCTAGGAAATAGGTCTTAGATCTTGCAAACTGACTCTCCCTGAAGGATTAGAGTTTACAATGGAGTCTAGTTTACAAATAGCAATATCTTGTGCTGCAATACTGTTTTTAAGTATCTGAATTCAATAAAACTGCTTTTTCCAGCACAGTATGAGCAACCTGTCGCTACTTCAATAAATCTTTGGAAAATGGCTCTTGATGTGTTCTAATTTGTTAATTTCATGACTTTCTGGAAAGCCATAACAATGTAATGCTGGAATTACTATACAGTTGACATCTCTAGTACTGATTGTGTGGAATGCTGTTTTTTCAGTTTAACTAGATAAACTGTCTTCTCATTTACTGCTTAGGTTTTGGAACCAACTAAAATGGACTATAACTGGCAGATGCATGATGTATTACAATATTTCTTATCACTTGAATAAAATATGATACTTCAAGCTAATAAAAATTAATCTTGCTTCCATATTCTAGTTAACCCAGTTACTAAGAGTTAAGAATGCCCAAAATACCTTAAAACTCAGCTCTATAAAACATAGTAGTTAAGTAGCTGTGAAATAGTTCACGCAAGTCCTTATCTGAGACAGCACCTTTGCAAAGTTAACAGCTGACTTAATGCATTGACTTCATTTTCCAGGAAAGACTAGTTCCCAAAGGCTTGTCTGTCTTACAGACGCTAAATGAAGGCTTCAGATGGAGTCGGGGTTAGGAGAGGTATTTAAAGGGAATACATAGAAAGAATAACTTGCTTTAATTATGACTTTATTCCAGCATTTAAACCCCTTTAAAAAAGGAGAGCCACCATGCTTGGTGTACTCTGCTGAACATCAGCCTAAGTGCAGCAGAATAGGGAAGAGAAAACTCCTATCTGGCCTCTTGTAGTCCTCTAGGAGGCAGAAGTGAAAGGTTGAAGTCCTCTGTGAACATTTAAAAGAGAAACTTTCTTTTCTGCAGAGCAAGATACTTTTCAAATTAAAGCCTAGTCAAAACCTCAGCAGAGCTCTTGCCGCACAAAAGTAGCTACTCTGTTCTGCATCACTCCTCCTGTAAAGCCTGCTTCCTGTAAGCTTTCATTGGTGTACAACTTTTGCCAAATGAGTAAATGCAAAGTGGAATTGTTCAGTAAGTATGAATTGCATTTGGTGCTCATTCAAGGTAATGGCAGTAGTTTCATGTACAGACATTCTCACAAGCGCTTGGGAACTGATCTGTAAGAAAAACTTACTGTTTTTCTTATAGATAACTTATTATTATCCCCATCTGACAGGGATGAAAAGAAACTACTTTTTCCATCCTTACCAGCTCTTGCCTTTGCTCCAGCGCATGTCTAACCGGGTGCACTGCAGGGACTGGAGTGAGGGGGCATGAGGAGTCCACTTTTTTTCATCCCTGTTGCCTGCAGGGCCAGGTTAGGAGATGAGCCAGGCCGCTGCTGGGGGAGGGAGGGAGGCAGTGCCTGCGGGGCGCCGAAACCCACCACAGCTCAGACACACAGGTGTCCCACAACCTGGAGGTAGGGGCCCAGGCGTGGTTGCAGTTTACATCTTTGAATCTCCCAGGAAGAAGTGCTGAAGCTGTTCTTCACAGCAGAAAAGCATCTAACTTTTCAAACAAGGCATGGTGATGCTGTCTTGGTGTCCTGCCCTGCTTTTCTCTAGTAAGTGTTCACAGAGGACTTCAACCTCTCGCTTCCACCTCCTGGGCTTTTTCCCCATTACAGTGCACTCGGGCGGGTGTTCAGCAAAGCAAACAAATCCATTAGGCTGGGATATGTGCCTGTCCAGCTCAGTGCTTTAGGTGCTCACCTGAGAGAAAAGTCCTGCAGCTGGTCCTGCGTTTGTTCTGGTGACTCTTCCACACAAAAGGGCCAGAACTGACTCTGAGGAGAGGGCCTGGACCCAAGACTCTGCCACTGCTTGCTGCAAAGCAGAAGAGATTCAACCTCGTCTACACTGTGGTGAGTAGGACAGTCTCATTAAAAAGGGAACGAGCAAACCCAGTCTCTTTCATGCTGCGGAGTTTACAGACACCAGGTTTTCTACTACCTATCAACATCCAGAATGATTAAAAAAGCACAAACAAGCTTGCATGGGAGATGCTTTCTGTGATAGTGACAGCTCTGGGCATGTGCAATAGCTAATTTTGAACACTTAATAGGCACAGGGGTCTACAGCCTTTCAGGATGAGAGTGGGATAAGGTGCTGATGTCCAGCCTATTGCAGACTACTGAAGTCTTTTTCTGGAGCTGGGCACTGAAAAGGCTGGGCCAACGCTTAATGTCATTTCTTGCAGCTGAAGCAGTGTGGGAGCCTGGGGCGGTGGCATCCAACAGCCGGTGGACAAGGACAGCCAGTTCTGCCGGGGGACGGTGGGGACCATCAATGGCTCTGGGCAGAGCCCCGCCGCACAGAGTGCTTTCTGAAATGCACATTGACTGCTGGAGGTTATCTGAACTGTGATAGTCTTTCAGATGTTGCTTCCCCCTCTGCCGCCAGCTACCTGGCTTGCGGCTTTCTGTCACCTTTGATTGCTTCACCCAGCAGATGAAAGAAGTGACTCTATGAAGCACTGACAGTGCAGCAAAGGAGTTATTCCCGGCTCTTCTGTGTTTGGGGTTACACAGAGCACAGAGAAGCATGTGGCAGAGCTTTCAATTCTGGGAATAAATAAAAAAATAAATAAAAATAAACAAAAATAAAACCTAGTTGCCAAGGCTCTAGGAAGATTGCAGGAAACCTTCAGAGCCTGCGCTCTGTGCGAGTGTGAGGGTACTCTCATGGTGGAAAGGAGAGCGGATGGTGAGTGTGTAAACTTCTCAGTGTTTGATCTAGGCACACCAGCCTTATGCTCATATATAATTGCTGGAAGCTGCTGAGTGCTGAGCCAGCAGCTGACCTTCGAACTGTATTTCAGATCCCAGTAAGTGCAGGCAGCAACTGTACCCAGTGGGCAGCCCCCACCGCGGCCGCGCACTTGTCCTGCCCTCAAACAAGCGCCCTGAAGCTGCTCCCATGAGCTTACACAGTGACTGCCTCCAACTGCGTGAGCTGTACTCACAGTAAATAATGTTAGTCCCCTAGATAATTGAGTCCTCATATTTAGTTTATTTTGCTTCATGTAGCCAGAAGCTTGCTTTCCTTTCATTATTTTTTTTTTTTATAATCCTGCAAAATATGGAAACTATTAGCAGAGACTCCACATTCCAAGCCCCTGGGAACATGTAGCTAATGCATTTCTTTTGCCATCCAGTTTGTCTGGATATTTACAGTAAATATACTTTTTCCTCTTCCACTGTCTGTCTTCCCTCCCTCCTCTTTCTTTTTATCTTTTTTCTTTCTTTCTTTTTCTTTTCTTTCTCTTCTCTTCTCTTCTCTTCTCTTCTCTTCTCTTCTCTTCTCTTCTCTTCTCTTCTCTTCTCTTCTCTTTTTTATTTTTTTTCTTGCTTTGCTTTGCTTTGCTTTTTCCTCTTCTCCTTCCTTTCTTCATCTCTCAGTCTGTCTAATATTTCAGTGTTGAGCATACTTTTTTTTGGCTCACAGAGTGCTCACAGTTCTGGCCCAGCCAAAGGCTCTTGCCCTCTCTCTTCCCCTCCCTGTGACAGCACTTTTCGGCTGTTACGTCTGTAAATGGCTCTGGTGCTTTTGTTGCTAGCATACTATGCTCTCTGGGAACATCTGCATTTTTTTAAATGCACAGAGGAAACAGCTGCAAGACTGCTCTGAGGTCCTGAAAGCTTGATTTACATGTGAGGTTTGAAGAACTCGGGACACTTTGGATGAGGCCTGATGGCAGTATGGTGGAAAGCCATTGACCGGCGGTGGTGGTAGGGTGGTAGTCTCGCTGTGTCTCAGCCTGCAGGGTGCTGCCCCACGGCACTAAGCTGTCCCACAGACGGACAGGTGTCTGGGGGCCTCATGTAAAGCCACGAAAGCACCTAAGGAACCGACACCTTCAGAAAACTGTTTATAGGAAACCGCTCATCCTAGCCCGGTGTGACACCTCCAAAATGGGGTCTGGGCCAAATCTCACCATACCAGGCAGGGTACCCAGTGCTGCCTGTGATCACAGCACTTACGAGGCTCACTCTCAAAGTTCTATTTGCAGGTGCAAAATCCCACATGTGACTGGGTTACTGGGCACTTTAGGACTGGTCTATTCTCCCATTAGTCAATTAAAACATATCCTGTAGGCTCTCAGTCACCTTCAGGCGCCCGCGGAGCATGGAGGAACTTGTGGCTGACATTCCTGTCATAGGGCTGTTAGTGGTGGTCACCAAGGACCCACGCTGTGTGCAGATCACATCCTGCTGGGGCACACCTGGTACTGGGAGGCTCCTGCTCCTGGCCAGGGCTTGCTTATGCCAATTGGTGGAACAGGAGGTGCCTGGGGGATATAAATTCCCACATTTGGAGAGGATGAGCAGCTGTGTGGCTGGATAGAGAATCTCACTGGTGCCCTAATGGCAGGTAAGTATTGGAGATTTTAATTACAAATCCTCCCTCAGGGGAAGGGAAGCCTGGATATTACTGAAAATTTTAAAGTCATCTGCGTACAATAAACTGCTCTAAGAGACATTTGCTTGACTGCAGTCACGCATGCAGAATTAGGAAGTGCCAAAAATAAAATTACATCCTCAGTCTTCATTTGGTCCCTTTATGCTCATGTGTAATGCTGTGGATTTCACTGCAAGTTCATGGACCTTGTCTCACTCTGCACATACCTGACAGCACGGCAGGAGTCACCATCACTCACTGCTAGAGCATTTTCAGATCTCCTGCGTGTGTGCTCCCCCAGTTTATTTATCTGCTTTAGAGTCTGAGTGTTTAATTTACTCCAGGGTACCCTCTGCTGTTCTTCATGGCTCTTCACAACACCCCTGCAAGAGGTGGGGTATTACCAGTCCTGTTTCACACACAGGGTCACGGAGCACCGCAGCCAAGCTCAGAAGTGGAAGCTGACCTCAGGCGCCTGGTGTGAGGCTGGTTAGCACTCTGTGCTTTTAAGGCACTTACTGATTTCAGGTCCAAGTACTTTCCCCGTCTGGATCTCAGATCGAGTACCCACAAAAGGAAGCTCAGACATGCAGGGGGACAAATGCAAAGCACAGTGCAAGTGAAATTTCCAGCCTTGGCTAGGAAAGCTATAGCACAAGCAGGAAAAAAATTCCATTTCTCCAACATGGCATAGGGCTACCTTAACCATAGGACCCTTCTCTCTCTACAGCATTTTGCATCCTTCATTCCACAGTTCCCTTCTTCTGCAAGAAGGGCAGCAATGCTCTGGCTCGCAGGCCCCCTCACAACGCAGCCCCAGGCCCATGAGCTGCTCAGAGGTAAAAGCTGCTTATGGGCTTCATGAAGTCTGCAGCAACCAAACTCATTGCTTCAGAAAAGGGCAATTGCACAGCAGCCAAATCTCTGCACAGTGTTGTGTAATAATTTCCAC